GCTTCTATAGTATGCATATGCTAAAATTTATCTCATTGTTTGTCTTCACCAATACAGTACAAGCTCCCTGAGGACAGGGATCTTTTGTTATTGTTGTTCACAGCTGTACTTGCAGTGCTTAAAAAAGTATCTGCAAAGAGTAGGTAACCCTATAATTTTTTAGAATGAATATATGGTGAATCACTATTTTTTTTTTTTTTTGATACTGGGGATTGAACTCAGGGGTACTTAACCACTCAGCCACATCCCTATTTTATATTTTATTTGGAGACAGGATTTCACTGAGTTGCTTAGTGCCTTGCAGTTGTTGAAGCTGGCTTTGAACTCGCAATCCTCCTGCCTCAGCCTCCTGAGTTGCTGGGATTACAGGCATGTGCCACCTTTCCAGACGGGAATCACTATTGATGAATACTTGCATTGTTTCTAATTTCACCATTTTGGTAATGGCTTATGTAAACCAGTATTCTTACAGATATATTTTGCACATGTATTTTTTTTTTGTAAGGAGAATTTATAGATGAGGCATTGTTGGTATAAAAAAAAAAGAATTAGGGAACTACAACTCCTTTCAAATCTCTTCCAATATGTTCAGGAAGTTTCCAGCAACACATGTATTTACTACCCAGTATTCCTAGCCATCAGTGAGTGCTCCCACTATCCGTCTTACTAATACAGTCCTGTTACTAAGTGACACTGACCTTTTCCTTCTTTTTAACTTGTTCTGTTTTAAAGGAAGTTGAGTCTCTTATGTTCCCACCCCATGTTCTGAGCCATTCAACTGTCATTCTGTTAAAATGAGAACAGTACTTTTTGTCCCTGCTATTTTTTGTTCAGCAGGCTATATTGGCTATGAAACCTTGTGTGCTCCCAATCTCTTTATGACTTTTCCCACCCTAATCTAGCCTTTTAAAAATGCATCTCCTTAACTCCCAAGGCTCAGGGGCAATCTAAGGAGGAAAGGTGAGGGCCTGCATCTCTCACTCATTCCATGTTTATATCAAGCTGTCAACCTAAGTAACCATCAGATGCTTACCAGGTCCCCTTGAACCAAGTTTGCCAAGCTCAGTTCCCTTCCCCTTTTGGTTGAGTCTTTTCCTGAGTACTTTTTAAAAAACATACCCTTGAAGATCCAAACTCAGTTCTGCAGACATTTCTGATTCCTGGGATAAAAATGATTTGGGGTTATCAGTTAGGAATTCTGGAAACAACCCAGATATATCAATAAAAATAGAACTATATATGAATGAACGTATGCTCAAACTTTGTATAAGCATTCTACTACCTTGAGACGCTTCACTGCTCTTGCCATCTATGTTAGAGAATCTAACTTGGCCTTAGTCTGAGTGAGGCCTACATTTACCATAGCTCAGCCAACATTTCTGCCTCATTTCCTCCTCTAGGTCCTACAGTGTGCCTTCCCATTTTTCTGAGTAAGCTTTCTGTTTTAGTTCAAGCTGACTTTGTTAGAGCTATTTCTAGCCTGTGGTGAACTTCTACCCAGACCTCAAAGACCACCATTATCCTATTCATACTTCAAGGCCCATTTCAATTATGACACCCTTATTCCACCAGTCAACAATTATCCATTTAGTCACTCACTACTATGCACCAATAATCTGTTCAGTGATTTTCTTTCATTTCCTACTGCATCTAGGTTCTGAGAATATACAATAGTCAACAAGACAAAAATGCCTTTCCCTGTTAGTTTACATTTCAGTGAGGGACATGGGAAAACAAAACAAAAACCAATAACACAAACATGAAAATATTAGAGAAGCACTATGCAGAGAATTAGAACTGGGTAGATATTTTTGGCTGAAATGGCCTGAGGAGGTGATGTCTATACTGAGATTTGAGTAACAGCAAGAAAAGGATGAACCATTCAGAATTCAGGGGGCCAAGCATGAAAAAAAAAAAAAAAACAGGCCTGGCCAGTATGAAAAGTCCTCAGAAGGAATGAAGCCCACTTGTTCACACCAAGGCAGCTGATGGGGAGGGCCAAAGGGGGAGTAGTGGCAGAGAAAGCTGGAGCCAGCTCACATATATGCTTTGTATAAGACTCTAGGTTGAATTCTTTCTTGCTTCTTTTCGTTTCTCGAGATGACCATCAATTCTTGGCATTCCTTGGCTTGCAGGTGCATCACTTCAATCTCTTCTATTGCCACATGGCTTTTGCCCCATAGGACTCTGTCTTCATATGGCCCTTTCCCCATGTTTTCTCTTTTAAAGTACACCAGTCATATTTGATCAAGGGTCCACATTACTCCAATATGACCTCATCTTAAACTATTATATCTGCAATGATGTTACATTTACATTAGGTCACAGTCTGAGGTACTAGGGTTAGGACTTCAATATATCTTTTTGGGGACATTATTCAATCAGTGATTGCCTGACAAACTAATTACTGTGCATCTGAATGGCTGGGGATCGTGTTAACATTGACTTGGCATAGGACTTGAGGTTTTATCTTTTCAACAGGCTCTCCTGGTGGATTTCAGTACTGCTAATTTGGCGATAGGATGACCAACTTATTCTGATTTGCCCAAGGCTTCCAGTTTTATCAATGAAAGTCATGGATACAAGGAAATACCTCAGTTTTTGGCAAACTGGAATGGTTTGTCATCCTCTATCACAAACCACAATCTGAGGAGCCAGGATCTAGTTAGAGGGTATTTTAATTTACCTATGAATTATGTTACTATTTATATTTAAACAGTCTATTTTTATTAGGGTACTCCAGGTTTTCAAGAATCAACACTCAATTACATACTCTAAAAAGTTCCAGATGAACTGTGAAATCAGGAGTTAGTTTAGGCTGATGGATGTCACCTGTGAATATCATATATCAGCTCATCAAATTATTTATGACACTTAGACTTTCTGTTGGGCTGGACAATGGGATTTCTGATCCCTTTATAAAGTAGTTATACATGGGCAAGACCTCTTGAGGCTGAGGGTACTAACTAGGTTTGAACTCTTCAGAATCCTTTCCTTGTTTCAGTAATAGAAGGAAATCAGCCTGGGGACTGTAAAAGTGAAGAAGATTCCCTTCTGAACTTGGCTTTAAATTTAGCACAGTGGGAGCAGTGGCCCTCAACTTTTGCTTCATATTAGAATCTCCTGAGGAGCTTTTTAAAATGCAGAGCCTTTACCTCATACCAAATGACTCAGAATAGCTGGGATTGGACACAGGCATTCATAGTTTTAAAAAAAAAAACACTCTCCAGATGATGAAAATGAGCAAGCAGCAGAGACAATTAACATGCAGCCTCCCTTTTTAAGATATACACCTTGCTTACTCTATCCCTAACCTTCTTCCATCTGCAGCCATATTCCTCTCCACTACCCCTTTTTCAAGGATTGATCATTACCTTAACCAGATTTTCCTCTTCATCACATTTGTGCCCTCTTGATGTAATGACATCACTGACCTGGGACCATGTGTAACTCATTGAAGGTAATAATTACTCCTACAACAACTGACTCTGAAAGGTTTTTGCCAAGCTTTATTGACTCTGGTTTTCACTCTTTCACAAAAAGGTATCCTTAACCCAGAATTGAGTTAGCTTGTGATAGCAGTGTTGTTGTGACCACACATTCTCTTAGGAATCAAGCTAAATCTCCTACAGGATGTGTACTGTGTTCCTTTACAGACCAGCTGTGGGAAATTTGGGTGGAGTGTACTTTTTTTATAGTGATATAATAACATGCAATAAAAGTCATGCAATTCAGTAGTTTTTAGTATATTCACGAAGTTGTGCAACCGTTGCCATTATCTAATTCCAGAACATTCTTATCACTCCAAAAAGCAAGCCCCTACCCATCAATAGTCACTTCTTTCCCGTCTTCCTCAACCACTCATCTATTTTGTCTCTATGGATCTGTCTATTCTGGATTTTTCTTACAAGTAGATCATTCAATATCTGGTTGTGTCTGACTTCTTTCACTAAGTTTATTTTCAAGGCTCATCTATATTATAGCATGTATCAGTAGTATTTCATTCCTTCTTGTGAATAATTTCCCATTTTACAAATATGCAATCTATCATTTGATGGACATCTGAGTTCTTTCTACTTTTTGGCTATTATGAATAATGGTCATGTAAACATTCATGTACAATTGTGTACATGCATGGGCATGTTTTCATCTCTCTTGTGTTGGATACCTAAGAATGAAATTCTTATGGAAACTCTTTATTTAATATTTGGAGGAATTTTCAAGTTGTTTTTGAACATTGTTTTGACCTCGTTGATGTAGTTTTCTTTATGGTGTGAGGTGGTCTGTACTTGTTAGGTGGGACAAATGATTCTCAAGCCCATCAAACTGTTATCTGTTAAACATTTTATATGTGAGAATGATGTTTCATACAGAATCTTCTTGATATTTGGCTTTGAAAATTCCAAGTGTGAGGAAATCTAAAAAATGGAGCTCCTGGGGAGGCTGTAGATTCATGAGGTGGTGAGGATTTGTGTCTCTGTCTGAGTTCCTAGGTTCCTTACCACTCATCCAGTTGTATCTCTGTCCACCTGTCACAGTTTGTTTCTGACACAGACAAGGCCTTCTTGTTGCCAAGAACATGACTACTGGGCCTCTTCATCTGAGACCAGCTGGGCGTCCAAATGTAGAAACGTGACTGATCACTGGGGCCCATAAACTTCATGAAGCCAGGTGCAGACATCTTGCAAATAGAAGACCCTACACTGTAGAAAGCAGAAACCCAAATACATTGGAGGCCTGGGAGAGGTTCCCCTGACCTCTCAAGTGTCTCAAGACTTCTTGCTTTCCCCTCCCCAGCCCCACCCTCACTTCGGTTGGGGGTCTGAGCTTGCGCGGGATTGCAGGCCCAGGCAACCTTCCCAGCATGCGCAGTGGCTGCCCAGCCTGCTCCTTCGGCGGGAGCTCCCGCAGGGTGCGCGCTCCCTCACGCGCAAGGCTTCGCTTGCGCGCGCACGGGGCCTCTGGCAGCACGCACCCCCGCCCCGCCCCGCCCCGCCTCCTCCCCCCTCCCGCGCGCCCGCCCTCCGCCTGCCGCCACCGCCGCCGCCGGAGCTCTGTAGTATGGCATCGAGGAGAATGGAGACCAAACCTGTGATAACCTGTCTCAAAACCCTCCTCATCATCTACTCCTTCGTCTTCTGGGTGAGTGCCCACACCTGGCCGGGGGCCGGGCATCTGTCCATCAGTTTGGGTGATGATATTCTTCTTTTAGAAAGGAAAGTGGGGGGAAACCCAAACCCCAAACCAAATTTTGGCCCCCTTTTTAGGGAGACCGGCGCGAGGTGTTGGGTCGGGGCTGCGGGATCACAGGGCACAGGTCCGGGCTGCTCGGACCCTGGACTCGCAGGCTGCAGTTGGCTGCGTGGTGGGGGTGCCTGCAGGTTGTCGACCTTATAAAAATTATTTTTTAATGTATTGATTTATTTTTTTAAGCTCGAGGGATAGGGTCAGCCCCTAGGGAAAGTTGCGGGTTTATTTGTCCGTTTTCGTTTCTGGACTCCCCTTACTACCCTACCTTACCAACCGGTTCTTGGCGCCTCTTGGAGCTAACCTGTGGCGGGCTAGTAACCCGCGAGGGAGCGCGAGGTTTGATCCCAGATTCCCAATTATCTGCGACCCTGCTGGGCTGCAGGAGAGAGGCGCCCAAAGCCCTCTGCCTGCTTAAGCAAGGACGATCGAGTCCCCGAAGCGCACTAAAGGGTGGCGGGCGCAGCCACCGCGTGGAGGCGCGCAGAGGGGAGAGGGTCTTATATAAGCCAGGGGCATCTTTGAGGTTTCTCGGAGACCCAGAAGATAGATCCCTTTTCATTCTCGTCCATTACTCCTCATCCTGTCCTTCTGTTCACTGCATGAACCCAATTCACAGTGTCCTGGGGGAGGACCCCTGCGACTTGGTGATAGCTATAGCGCCCCAACTCTATTCCCCATCTAACTGGTGTTGCTACCAGTCCTTGAAGCTCAATGCAGAAGGGTGACGTCAGCCCCCTCAGCCAGGGCCGCTGGGGGCTGCATGGTGCACCTCGCTGAGCGATGCGCCCTTCTGCGCGCGGGAGGAGGAGGGGGAGCGAGAGGAGGAGGGGGAAGAGGAGGAGAAGGAGGGGGAGGAAGGGGGGCTCCAGGCTTGTGCCTTACCTCATCCTGTTTGGCAAGTGGAATCTGTGCGGGGCTGACACTGCAGTGATTCACTTGGAGAGGTGGGTGGTACCTAAAGACCATTGCCTGTTCTTTCTTTTTCCGTGTAGATATGCCCCCTCCCCCAGGTCTCCATTTGCATACCAAGCCACAGCTACTCCGCAGGGGAATGAAGATCTGCGCCCCCCGCTCCCCAATAATCTGGGTCATTTCATCTTCCAAGGCAGTCATTTTGAAACCTGAGGCACTGTAGGAAAAACCAGTCCCGCCCCTGGTTGTTTTTCTCCTTGCGCACCCCCTTCCAGATTAGCCCTAATTTTGCTTTGAAACTGGAGCACAGTCCTGTCTGAGGTACCCACAGTCGGCCTGATGGTGAACTGGACTGTTTTCAACAGCCAGGGCAGAAACTGAGATTTATTAAGGATTAAAAGAAAAAAAATCTCTAATGTCCCCGGACATTTCCTTGTCACTGACATTGGTGATTCTTCAGGTTTGGAAAACTATGGACTCGACTGGCTTTCCAGGAGCTCTGCAGTGAGAGAGGATAGAGTAGATTGCATTAGGCAAACATAGAAATGGACTTTATTTGGACTGAAAACAACACAGGTTGAAACATCTCAGTAGTGGAATTGTGTGCTGTGCACGTACAGATCCTATCATCAGATGTTTGCCTGGAAAAGCAATAATGCTGATTGCTGAAACTTCCCAGTAGTCATTCCTGGGAATTGGTTTGGTTTTTTATGCATTTCCTTAAATCTGCTTTTGTTTGTCCCTTTATTATTTAGTTGACTTCCTATTTGTTACTGGAGTAAATCATATGGGAGATTATTTTTAGCCTCCTAAGGTTTATAATGCTCAGGAAGGAAGTTTGTTCTCTTCGCATCTCTGCAAGCTGGTAAAGAAGGGGGTCTTCCAGATTTAGGCTTTTCATATGAGCTCACTAACTCTCTGTGCTTCTACCTCTCCCCCTACACCATGAATCTGATTACTTAAAGCCCCCTAATACACCTATAATCCGAGTACTTTATGTCTTGGGCAAGTTCCTTCATTTTAATTTTTTTTTAACTTTCAAGATTTTTGTACTCACAAATAAAATATTTACCTGGATGTTTTCAATAGTTTAAATAGCATTCAGTGATCACTTCCCACCTGACAATCAGAAGAATGAGATCTCTCTAGGTGTGAGGGTATTTTAAAAAAGCCATTTTTGTTGATAAGCCATGGTGCAAAGCCATGTTTTCCAGTGGATCTTGAATGCTGTTTTTTGAAAGCAGCTTTATTGAGACATAATTCATATGCCATGAAAGTCACCTATTTAAAGTATAATAATATATGAAAATAAAAACAATATATAAATAGTATATATTTTAGTATATTCACACTATTAATACAATTTTAGAACATTTCATCATCTCAAAAAGAAACCCTTTCCTGTCTCTTTAGTTGTCATTACATTCTCTCCTAACCCCTTCCAAATCCCTCCTACTTGCCCTGTGCAACTATTAATCTACTCTCAATCTCTGTAGATTTTCGTATCCTGGACATTTCCTATAAATGGAGTCAAGAATATTTGCCTTTTTGTGATTGGCTTCTATCACTTAGTATAGTGTTTTCAAGGTTCATCCACATTGTAGCATGTATCACTACTTCATTCCTTTTTATGGCTGAATAATATTCCATTGTATGAATGTAATACATTTTATTTATCCTTTTGCTCATTGGTAGACCATTGGATTGATTGGGCCTTTTGGTTACTAGAATAATTGTGTTATAAACATTCATGTACCAGTTTTTTTTTTTTTTTTTGGTGTGTGAACATATTTACATTCTCTTGGATATATATCTGGGAGTGGTATTGCTAGGTCACATAGTAACTCTATGTTTAATTGTTTGAAGAATAGCCGGACTTCCTTCCAAAGCAACTGTACCATTTCACATTCCCAACAACAGTGAGAGTTTCAGTTTCTCCACATTCTTGTCAATTCTTTGTTATTTTCTGGCTTTTTAATTGTGGACGTCCTAGTAGGTATGAAGTAATATCTAATTGTTCTGATTTGAATTTCTCTAATGAATATTGATGTTGAACATCTTTTTTACATGATTATTGATTATTGGTATATTTTCTTGAAGAAATGTCTATTTATATCTTTTGTCATTTTAAAATTTTTATTTAGATTATTTGTCTTTTTTATTGTGAAACTGTAAGAGTCCTTAATGTATACTGGGTTTAAGACCCTTATCAGATGTATAATTTGCAAGTATTTTCTCTTATTCTATGGGCTATCTTTTCACTTTCTTTTTGGTATACATGAAGTATAAAAGTTTTAAAAAATATTTTAATGAAGTCCAGCTAACCTATTTTTTCCTTCATTGCCCATGCTTTTGGTGTCATAAAAAGAATCCTTTACCAAATCCAGTGTCACAAAGATTTACCTGTTAAAAGTTGTTTGTTAGAGTGATTTCTCAATTCAGTAAATGGAGTTGATACATTAGTCTTTTTTTTAAAAAAATATCTTAAAATGTTTATTTTTTTAGTTATAGGTGGACACAATTTTTTAATTTTATTTTTAGGTGGTGCTGAGGATCAAATCCAGTGCCTCACACATGCTAGGCAAGTGCTCTAACCTCTGAGCCACAACTCCAGCCCCTAAAAAATCTTTTTTGTTAGTTGTACAGGGAAACAATACCTTCAATTAATTAATTAATTAATATGCGGTGCTGAGAATCAAACTCAGAGCCTCACATGTGCCAGGCAAGTGCTCTACCACTGAGCTACAGCCCCAGCCCCCTGCATTAATCTTTTCTACAGCACCTAGAACTGTGTGTGGCATATGGTAAGTACTCAAATATTTGTCAAACTTCTGGAATTATGCTAACTAATTAACAAATGATGACCTTGATATTCTTTTAAGTGGAACATGGAGGAAATATTAGGCTGAAATATTTCCTTCATGTTATTTATGAGGTTTTTCTATACCTTTATTTTATTTATTTATTTTTAATGTGGTGCTGAGGCTCGAATCCAGGACCCTGCACGTGCTAAATGAGTGCTCTACCACTGTGAGTTGTTTTAATTGGACTTCTTTTCTTCCCTTACCTCAATTAAGATTTAGGATTAGAAGACATTGGACCTTAAAACAGTCAAATGGCCAGTAATATGGGGAAGGTTGATGTACTTGAGCATATATACGAAACCAGAAGTCTACAATTATGAATGAGAGATCATTGTTTTACCCGAACACCTCTTCTGTCCATAATCACTCTCGCTTTCTGAGGTGTTTTCTCTAATAATTTTCAATGGGAGACAGTTCCCCCAATATTTGGCAATGTCTGAGCACATTTTTGGGGCACTATTGCATCTAGTGGGTAGAGGCCACAGATGCTGCTCACCATTCTAATATTCTAATATGCAACAAAGAATTATATGGCTCAAAATGTCAACAGTGCCAGCAACTTCTGCTGTATCGGGCTTACATAGAAGTAAATCCTAAGAAGACATATGGAGCCTCATGCAAAGATTATGATATTTATTGGTATTTGGAACCAGTGCATGCTTAAAACAATTACATGTTTTAAGAAATGGAAGAAAGACATTCTCTATGGTGTATCATAATTCTTTATTTGAAGACAAAAGGTAGGTGGCTCTTTATGTAATTGTGTTCTAATGAATAGGATGGTTTTCTAGTTAAATAATATCACCTGTATGCTAAGTGAACAGATCCTTTATTTTCCTTGATTTGTGTGCTTCATTTTCAGGTTTAAAGGAAAGGTAGGACAAATACCACCTAAGAGTAAGTTATTGTGCTTTAAATATTGGCAAACAGCACCTGGCACTTAGTAGATTTACTCAGGAGATATTTGCTTACTTAAGGAATAATTGAATAATGAAATTTTATTGACTACTCTTGGGCTTAGTTATTTATTTTAGCTCATCTCAATAGGAGGAGGCTTTTTGAAACTGTTTTTTTTTAAGTCTGCAGGTGGCAATTTAAATGTGCTTTTGCCAATAA